CTGGCTCAAATCAGGTTCAGCAATAAATGGCTTGCCTACTAAGATTTAGAAGTATCTTGTATTATTGTATCTTTTTGTTGATGAGGTAGTAGCCTGTCATATAAGAATAGTGATTATATATATTAATATGATACGAGCTTCAATATAATATTATATCAAAATTGAGAAGATGAAATGGCACAATTAAAGTCTTGCATTAAGCGTCTTTATGCATTCCAACAAATGGTGTTCGTGAAAGCCGAAGCTGTGTAGAAGAATATAAATGTCGCTTTCGCCTTTTGTATACTAGATTATTATATCACAACATAATCGCCAACTTGAATCACTTTCTTTGACTCGTGAAATGACGTGATGTTTGAGTTTTGAGTGTAGTTTATACTTTAAAGAATCCGTGTGGACTAATTTTCATAGATGTTTTTCCAACTACTTTCAGCAATTCCTATAAAAATCTACCATACATTTATAAAGGAGCAATAACAGTGCGGGAAGGAGGAGAAATCGAACTCATTTATGTGTTACTTGGCGGCTGCGAGTTATTACGTGATTAAAACAGATAGAGGCAAGCACTTGGTGCAATCAAAAATGCACTCAAAAATGCACTCAAAAATAAAAATAACGTGACGTCACGCTAATGAGTGTACCTGTTCCTGAATGTACTCTGCTCAATATTTGGGCGATCTTTCTTTCTTTCTCAAATAGTACTTGTAACAATGACACGTTTTACTTGGTGCTTTATGAATGAATGCTAGAAGCAAGAAATATGTTTTAATAAATTTATATAGGAACTGCAAAGAATGGCTTGAAAAATGCTTTTTTTTGAATAATGGCTTACCTGATTTTTTCATTAATGGAAACTATTCCTCACAAAATCAAGAAGTAGCGTATACAGAATATAGGCAGTGTGTCGAAGAAGCCAAATTGTCGAATAATGAACAATACAGAGAGTGGTCAGAAATGATCATAAAAAACAATTTCAGTGTAAGCCATTGCATATATTAAGATCTATCACAAAAAAGAAAACACTGTTATTGAATATGATTGCAATGCTCATGGCATAAAAGTTGTTTTTGATTTTTTAAGATAGATACTGATATTTTTGTTTAGGTCTTAAACAACATTGATGTAAAGAATTTTTGGTCAGGTATTCTTGATATTGAAAGGAGAGATGCTCAGCTGCATCAAACTCAAGAGAGGGCTTTCGTTCATACAACTGCAGAATCATTCAATATATCGACCAAAAGACTTAAACCCTCATCGTCTTCTGCATCCTCCTCTACAATAATTATATCACCTAATGCACTAGCAACCCTTGAGCAGTTTCTCTTGAAATGCACCAATGAAGATATTGGAAGAAAACTTATGGTGTTTACTAAAGAAATAACAATATCAAGCCGCAAATCAAGATATTTTAAAACTATCGGATTAAATGGCGTTTTGGATCTGAGTGATTCTTCGGAAAACTCACAAGTTTCAGCCTTAGGTGCAACTTTAGCTGACGAACTCACTAAAATGTTCCCGCAAAAAGAAGTACTTGTTGACAGTTACCCAGTAGAAGAGTATGAGAAAATAGCAAAAAATATCGCTGCGTCCAAGTCAGATAAAGGCTTTTTAACAGAATTTTTGGACAAGATCGAAAAATCTAATGTAAAAGAAAAGCTTCACACTACCAAAAAACTGTATGCTCACGTGGTAGAAAGTTTGCTTTATGACGAGTACATGTTCAATGAACATGAAGCAAGTTTTATAACAGAAGCGGACTTTATCGTAAAATTATGGAGCCGTTTGCTAGAGCTTACATTTCGCGGAACAGACGTCATCTTACATTGGGGTGATACAATCCCTGAAAACTGCAAAACATCGTTCAGAATGAAGTTTGATTTACGTATTATTTCGCATACTTTGTCATGTCAAGGTATAAAAGCTGACGTGGCTGCTGGTGAATTTGCTCGGTCTGTTGATGAAAGCAAACTTTACCGAGACAAGTTGAAAGGTGTTTTGATTTCAAAACTAAATATGAACCAGAGATACAAAGAAATAATGGGTTTAGGTTTTGATTGTAACGCAACACAGCTCAATGCGCCATTCATTGTTGTAATGGGTCATGAAGCCGTATTGTATAACTTGACAAAAACTTCTGCTGATCCCTACATATTGTATGAAGCCACTACTTTATCCTTTCCTTCGTCTGTAGAAGACATAAAAAACAACGGCATTGCGGATTTGATTAGGGCCCTAAGAAAGATAAAGGTAAGGATATTTCCATAGACTATATTTTAATTTTTTATAGCAATTGGTTATGGACATGAAAGAGCATGATGATATGATAGATCGTTTAAAAAAAACCAAGAAGAGAAAAACAATCAAGAAACTGACATCGCAAGCAAAGTTAGTTAGAGGGCAACAATCAAATGCTTGCATTATTGAGATATGGTACCCTCCAAAATACCAGTTGGACGATGAAGAATGAACCTTTTAATGTATTCGTTAAGTGCCTTTCTTTTTTACTTTTGTTTATCATATAAATTTTATTATAACTCTGAATTCACACATTGCTATATTCGTATATTTTACACAAATTTACAATAAAGTTGATTCTGCTAACATAAGATTTTTCAAAATCAATTGCATATAGTCTATATCCCTATTTATGTTTATTTACATCGTTGTGTACTTGAAAAATTCACAATTAGCTTTTACTCAAAAATGAGCTTTACAGGGTGATACACAAAAAAAAAATGTTACATGTACATAAACTAGTTTTTTGTTTTGCATAAATATTCAAAAAAGGAATTTTTATCGTTACTCAAGTATGCCTATCAACTCAAGTGGACCTTTTATCGTCTTGTCAAAATTTATACTTGAACAACAGACCAGTTTACTAGATAGTAGCTTATGAAATAGCTCCACTATAAAAAAATTATCCTAAGTCTTAAGAAAACATATTGATCAAGAAAAACAGCTGCTTGAAGCTATTAACATTATTTGTGATGTGGGGGTAAATCATTATCAGGAAGTTATAAATATCGCCGAACGTTTAAATTATGATTCATCGCATTTATTTAACGAGGCTACGTCTGGCATAGAAACGTTGCTCTAAATGAAGCAATCTTTCGAAGAAGCCGAGCATGATGGAGAATCAACAGCCCAAGTCAGCGTCAATATCAGTCAAGATGAAGAAAAATTCAAAAATACAATGAATTTCGTTCAACAATATAAAGAAACTAGAATGAGAATGAACTGGCATGGTTGTCATGACATGTTGGTGACAAAAAAGAATGTAGTTCATTATAAAAATTCAGAAGCATTACGTGGCATGTTCAATAAATTCAAGAAAAATAATTGAATATATATATATATATATATGTATATGTATATTAACTAGAAAAAGGTGGACTTGATTGCTCCACTTTGGGCAGCTCGACACTTTCTCCAGCAAACCAGACAGTGTTACCCGCTTATCATTGGACCCTGTTTCTCGGGGTTCATTCATATACCTGCAGTAGGAATGATTGGCAACTGCAATAATCTTTTCTCTACTCTCTGAATAGCGCCCGAGAATCATAAAGCTCAGCAAGAGCATCGTATAGAAGTCAGATTGTCACATAATGCCCAAGGTTACACATTCTGACCAGCAGTGCAGCGTCTCAATGTCATGTTGATGGGAGAAAAAACGCTGTGTTGGTTAATTTCATTCTAAGCACATGCATAACTATAATTGAAGTCTACTGAAGCGAGGTCATCAGGCTCCATGGTTAACCATTTTGGTTTATGCTACCCATTAAGAAACGTTTAAAGACGTTTCTCGGACAAATTGACAACATCCATAACAGGCTATAGGATACACTTGCATCTTAGTGGGCAAATACATTGGGAAGCTTTTGTGAATCAATGCACAAGCAGTTTTTGTGCAGCAGAGAGAGCCATACGCAGGGCTAAATGTCGGTTGATGCATGCACCGTTAATGACAAGTTAATTATAGTCTACAAAGTAAACATAGCATGAACGAGCAGGTACATAGCACATAATCTTAATCCAGTCTTTCGTTCAACTATAAAGCAAGGAGCATTAAAGTCAAATGTAAGGTATATCATTATCTTAGGAGTCATCTGTGAGTGTGTTGATAGAAATGGTCTTGTGGACTCAATACAATCATATTAGAATAAGAAAAACTGCGATTGTTTTGTAAGCATCGCACAAGCGATTTTTTATTGAACTAAAAAAGCCTCAAAATTCTGATCATCTGTTGATAGGCTAATATGAGCCAAGATCATTTGATATTTCTGAACGAAATATTTGTGTAAATTATGGAAACTCAGAACGTACAACCATCTCATAAAGGCATCTAATGAAATGATACTCTACTGCAGCGCTTTTACCAATGAATTTACAACAGTGAACTACAAATGCTTCTAAAATGAGATATCCAGTCTTACGTTATATGGCACGCTTTAATGGCACTGATCAAGCCTCATTTTATATAACTTACTAATTGATATAGAGTTGAACTTTACTATGTAGTGGATAAACGTTCACTAGTATGGTAACAGTAATGTTAACTAAAGACACTTGTTCTTTAGAAAAACAAGTCAATGCTTAATGATAATACCTGTGCGTATAAATTCGGCATTGTTTTTTTTTTTCCTATGCAAAAGAAAGCGTATAGTGATACACTCTGAACCGATTCGTCAAGTAAAAGCGGATATTCATGAGTTCTACTTAGCAAAGCGAAGGCTTTTATGTTAAGTTATAGCGAATAGACTTTATACAGTCGGATATTTACACTTTTTCTATATCACCACTCTTCACCATGAAAGAGTCAAGTTGACGAGATTGTAAATGAACGATCACACTGTTTATTAGTTTAATTGAGTTATAGATGTAACTGGCAAAAGTAAATGGTTGTTGCCAGTTTATTTACTTGATATTGTAGACTCGAAAGTAGTGCTAACTTGATTTGACTTTATCACGATTAATAAAAAAGCAATTGCTGAAACTTATGCTCAAAAAACTCAACTTACACAATAACGAGTCTTGGAAGTCGTGTTTTACTTTTGTTGTTGAAAATGGAGCAGACGCTTTCTCGCAAGAAGAATTAGCTTCTAGCTCTTCCAGTTCGACTTACACATCTTATACAACAAGTAGGAGTGTCATATCACATCTTTCGTCTTCATTCTGGCAATCGTACGATTGGTGGCACTGTGGATACGGCTGAATAACGTTTTAACGTTGAGTGTAACATTAGACAATCACCAGCACCAGATGACTGCTTTACTTGTACACACAAATACACTAGAGTTCTCCTATAATACATTATTATCAAAAAAAAGGAGGAAGAAACAGAGAGATTAAACAAAAGGACAATAGAAGGGAAAAAAGGAGGAGGAGAAAGAGAGAGGAGAAATGGGTATCTTTTGATTTTTGAATTATTTTCTACTTTTTTTCACTTTTTTTTATATTTCAAAAGAAGGAGGGAAAGGGAAGTCAAAGGAGAGAAATGGTTTCTTTCCTTTTTAAATACAATAGCAACGCATATTGGGAAAAGAATGAATGGTCTAGAAATCATGGATACAGTCGACCTTTAGATACTTATTTTATACTGCAATGGGTTAGTTCACTGACCTTGGATATTGGTTTCTTTGGATTCTTGACACATTTCGTCTCAGATTATACAACATCTGTAAGTGAATCAGCTAGTCTACAGGCAGATTGGACGGAATTTCGGAATACAGCGCAAATTCCTTGGTGGATAAGTTGGAATGCTGTCATCATGTTTGGATTAAGTGGACTTGTCAAAGCATTGAGTGTGACAACCTCATTGATTGACACTGAAGATTTAACAGTAAAGCAACAACAAGTGCCTCGAAGTCAAACATATATCAAGCGATTTGGTATTCCTGTGATAGATAGTTATACAGGAATATGTAACATTTGTCGGGTTAAAGTGTAAGTGTAATGTAATAGAAAGAGTTGCGAATTTTAATCCACAGGGGGAACGCTAGTGCCAAAACGACACGGCATTGTAAATTGTGCAACAAGTGTATCGATACTATGGATCATCACTGCAAGTGGTTGAATTGTTGTATTGGAAAAAAGAATTACAGGTAGTTTTGCACACAAACACAGAGAAGAAGAAAAGCAAAGCTTACAATTTCAAGAGTGTTTTTGTCACTGGTAGCATGCTCTTTTTTGGCTTTAATCTGGTACCTCTACACAGCTTTTTATGTTACGTATATCGGCTTTTATAGGAAGAATGTGTTTCTTGTACATGGTAATAGAACACAAGATGTGTACGTGTTTCATTCGCATAAATGGGCTAAAACAGTTTATGATAAGCGCTCCGTTTGTTCTCGGTACAAGATATCAACGATGATATAAATGGATTTTTTTATATTTGTATGGCACTAGTATTGGTCGTTACGTTACTTGCAATGGTATCATTTATTGCCATCACAAGACTCTTCGTATTCCACATACAATTAGGTATGTCTGTGGCTTACATGTCATCCTCTATGGGAAGAGGGAGATATTTTATGTTAAATAGCTCAATAATCACTCACATTATTATTAACCAATAGTTAAACTGAATATGACTACGATAGAGTATTTGAATAGAAGGCCAGTATACTATGAAGACAATTATTCAGAATATACATCTGAAGAAGACGAGGATGAGGGCCATTCGAAGCGATACAAAAACCGTTTCATGCGCCTTGTTACACATAAATTACGCCGTACCTGGATGGTTGTGGCACGTAATGGTTATCAGAAATTAAACAGCACCAACACACATATCAAACGACCATTTTGTCTGCCGTCATTTGCTAATACTAATACTATCAATCCTGCATCATCCAGTCTGTTACCTAAACGTGATACCCCACTTGACATGGAAGACTTTCTTGCGACAAAAACTATAAGGCCTGTTATCATTAATGAACAAGAGATAGACATAGACATGACACTATTGTCAGAGAAACGATTGCCGAGTACAAGTAAAATATCTAGGATCCTAGATATTTCAGAAGACGAAGCTCTATTACAAATAAGACAAAACATGCATCAAAACTAAGCAAAAATGTCTCTGGTAGTAACAATGATAAACCAAATAAAGACTCACATGCTGTTACACTATCAGTTCAAATAATGATAATATGTATGCACACACTGACGCGTTATTTATATAAGCAAAAAAGTAGGAGTTTATTAAAGGAGGGCTTGTTTAAATTCCTTTTTCTTTCTTTTTTCCTTTTTCTCTTCTTTCTCTCTCTCTTTGTTTTCTTTTAAAAAAGTCGCGTGTGGTTATGACAAGTGATAATCTTCATATTCATTTGGATCAAGATGTATTTGCATTGGATGGATTCAGGCCCAATGCATCAAGTCAAATCAAAGGATACATTCAACTCTACTCAGAATCCTTTCCTACATGGAATATCCAGATTCAGCTTGTAGGAAAGGAACAGATCGAAAAAAACACAAGAGTGATCATTGATGATACTTTCCATCTACCTATGGACTGGGTAGCAGTAGCCAATGACAAAAATGTGTATAGACTACCATTTATGCTAACCGTGCCTAATAATATACCAATCTCATGTCAAGTGAATCGTAATGGTAATGGTATCTATTATATAATTCAAGTCTACTCCAAGCAGACGGTGATACGACAACCCATACAATTCTATAAATCATTTCATCATGACACAATACCGCGAAGAGTTTTCTGGGGAATTGCTAAACAATCCATCAATAAGTGGCAATATGAGTTGGAATTTCCAAATGCTTTTGACTTAACAAATGCAAATACTGGTTATCTGTCTATTCGGTTAAGATCCAATTCAAAGAACTCGGCTGGTTGTCATTGCTTGGTGATATGTCAAATTACTCAGTCTGTGCATACAAAAGGGTAACTACACAAAAATAGAGAGACCAAGAAAAAAAAGTTAACCTGAAACATATATATTTAGATTTAAAAATCAACAAAATGTGCTTATGACTACCTCTGAGTTACTCAGACAACCTAATGCAACATGGACTGAACCTTATCATATTGAATTTGAGTTGGGCCATCCTATGTTATTACCAACGGTTCATAATCAAGGGTTATCCGTTTTACATTCAATGCAGATAACATGCTTATTCACAAAACATGGCGAATCCGATTGTGTCTTGAACTTTGATTTCCCCTTAGACATCAGTGGCTTCATCTGCCCATCACCTTCAAGTACACCCACTGTACTCTCTGCTTCATTCACAACCAATGCATCGAATACAACTGTTGATGATAAGCCAAGTAGTGTTAGTAGTATTAGTAGTAGTAATAGCATCACCACATCATCCGATATACAGCCTTGTCAAATGCAAAAACAAGAACAGCAAACGGAAACAACCAAGCCTAATTTCACTTTAAAATCCATATTTGCTGCCATTCCCTTTTTTAAATTTTAAATAATAAAAGTATGCATACGCATGTAGTTAATACATGTGCGTTTATGGAAAAAAGGGATTTACTTTGATTGTTTTCTTTTGTCTCAGAAGCCCAGAATAGATCTGAGGTTATACAGATGAACAAGGTTTTGTATGTTTTTCATAAAGTTTCAGTTTCTTTTTGGTGTAATAAGCTTAAAGAAAAATAAAATAAAAAGGAAATCAACGTTACCAAAAGAAAAAAGCCTCTACCATCTGATCTTCTTTATGTCCGTTTCATACAACCACGACTTGTTTTGACCGTTTATTATATATATGCAGGTCACGGTACATGCAAGATCTACGGAGCACTCGGCAAGTTGTCAAGCAAAATGATTAGAACTCTGGTTTGTCCAAATGGTTCTTTATATTCTCTGTTTTCTATGTGTTATGTAAAATTTGTATGCGTAAACCTTGAGTTTCATCGTTTCAAACTTTTCTCTCACAAAGGAATTTATTTTAATCATGTCAATCTTTCGGTAAATGATCATGGACCTTGAGCAACATAAACGATTCCCTATTTAAAGTAATCTTGTGTCACTTGCTGGGTTAATGTAGATCGACAATACAGCGCGCGTCTGTGTATGAAGAAACCCCCAGGCATTGTTGACTTTTTTTTATTGTATACATCAGACAGAGACCGTCTTGACTGTGTGCTTTTTCCTTGAGAGACTTGAAACCAATTCTTTTGAAATACATGAAGAAATAAAATGAGTGGTTTCTCTACATTGATATCTTTTATTGTGACAAGTTGTGATCTTTTTCATGATGATACCGCAGACATTATATCATTAGGTTCCGTTTGTTAATCACCATATCCGCTTTATGGTATTATAGTCTCTTATTGGTGAATAGCATCAACCCTGATATTACTAAAGATCAGGCACGAAAAACTACTGGTTGATTTACCTATAATCTTTCATTATACTTTTATATTTCTTGATCTGCCTTAAAGTTTCAAAGTGTTGTGCGCATATGTGTGTGTGCATGTTTTGCTAATGAGAGTAAGCCTGATCTAATGATTGTGTGGAGATTCGTAATTTCTTTTATGTAAATCAAAGCTTTTTTTTTTTCACATGATCCCAACAAATTGTTTTCCCTAAAAGAACGTATTCTACAGATAATCAACTCATTCAAATCATGGGCGACTCTTATCCTTTTTTTTCTTTGAAAATAGCCCTATTGGATCACACGCCGTGGTTGATCATGGTTAGACTGATAAAATTCAAATTTCGACCGCAGTAGTAAAAAATCATCTTAAAATATACACAGTTCTCTGTTATTTTTTAATGCATTTTTTCACAAAATCTATTACAAACATGTTCCATTTTAGTTATACTCAATAACTTTATATGGATTTCCAGTTCGTTCGAGAAGTGCTGACCAATAAGGCTCCAATTCAAATAAATAGTTGAATTTACCACCAAAATCACATTCTAATTGATCTGGGTCGATATAATCCTGTATATGAACCCATTCATTACTCGTGCTCTTTGTATCCTTTTCCTTTTCCGAATCATAGACAAACTTGATCTTATTTTTCGTCACTGGATCCATGAAGGGTGAAATCACCTTGAAAGTAGCAAAAAAGAACCATGGAGCTAACGTGGGATTAGATACATAGGATGCATAAAAATAGACTTACACTTGACGACAAAAGCAATTCCAAGTCGTTCAGGGTAATGGTTTCCTAAAATATCCAAAAACTTTTTACAAGTAGCTACACTTGGATTATGCGAAGCTGATGAATCCTTAAAGTCAACAATGATGGCCAAGTTTTCTACTAATTCTGGCATCAACCGAATTCCTCGTTCTAGGCTGAATACGATATGTTTAATCTGTCTATCTGCGTCTTTTGAATTCTGAAGTCGGGGTCTCATAATCCAGACAGGTCTACCGCATTTATCAAACCCGTTAAAATACATTTTACCCGTTTCCGCCTAAGACATAAAAAAAAAGAGAGGGTTACAATGTGTTTATAACTTATTGTATCTTTCTTTACTTCAGGTTTGATGTACTCGGGATCTAGTTGATCAGGACGATAGTCACGTCTCCAACGTACTGTGTTCTCCAACATCGTCTTTGCATTCTGTTATGGGAAGAATTAGTTTAATTTATCCGGTTAATTCATCGTCACATACCTCATAGTCCCATTTTCTCGCCCGCATATATCTTTTCAAGGTTGCCTCGGTAATAAACCCCCTCTCATTAGGATAGTACTCATGGTCCTTTGGAAGCATGATTGATTCAATATAATTCCTTAGTTTTTCAAGTTTATCCTTTTGTTCACTTGTCAGTGTTGCCTGTTGAACGGGTGTATACTTGTTGGTCGGCGTTAGCTTGGGTTCGTGAATAACCGGACCGAATTTTTCCACAAGTCCAGTCTCTGGAAGCTTCAGACTTGCGTTTGAGTTGGATTTAAGTCTATTGAATACATTCATGTTGTCGGACCAAAAGAAGGAAAGAAAAAAGAAAAGAAAAGAAAAGAAAAGAGAGAGAGAGAGAAAGAAATAAAAAAAGAAATATATGGTAAGCGCGTAAATTTAGTCGTTCTGTGAAACAAATGCATTTCGCGCAGAATGATGGCATTAAATACTCTTATTGGCTCGGTAAAAGAAAAAGCCCTGAGGTGATGTGTCTAAAAGGACAAGAGGGAAATTTTTTAATCCGGTCTGAAGTTGTTAAACCAATGGCTTTTTCATAATTCGAGGAAAAACTGTTTCTCTGTTTCCTTGGTAACAGATTGGCTTTAATGATAAAAGGGATATCTTTACAATCTGACTGTTCTATATATTTTAAATCAATTTATTCAACATTTATTTACACAAGAACGAAGAAAGTTATTTACAAATTGTTACTTTTTAGTTTCTTATTGCTTTCAGGTTGTTGTTGTCCTTCAAACTTCCTTTTCATATTTTCAATCTTTCTGCGCATAGCAGACCGAGCGAACGCATCATCCTCATCCTCATCCTCATCATCTTGTTTTCGCTTTCGAGGAAGCACTAGTTCTTCGTCTCCTTTGTCGGATGCTTCCTGACGTTGTTCCTCCTCCTCATCTTCGTCAGATGTATTGAAATAATCTTCCTCCACTTGATCCATTGATGACCAGGCAGTGGCAGGAGCCGGAGACTCAACGGTATCAGAGACTGGGCCAGCCGCAGCTTTTTCTTCTTCTTTAGGAGCGTCTGCTGTTAGAGTAGACAATTGCTGTACCAGCTTGTCACCGACCGTGGTTTGTTCTATGCGAAAGGACTCTAAAGATGGACGGAAATTGGCCAAGAGATGCTGGAGGATCTGCTTGTTGTTGGCCTTTCGGATAGACTCAAACATGGCTAAACAGGCAGAAGACACCAGGTTATCCTTTGCGCTGTTCTGGGCGGCAATACCAACGATGGGCTCAAATACCTCATTCTTCAAAAAGTGAGTGTAAAAGAATTCGTCACGAAGATCAAAGCAGATGCGTAGGAAACGCACTGGACAGAGCTGTAACGAAAGGTGATTGGCACGGCAGAGGAGCATGATCTTTGGGAAAAGATCATTTGTCAAGAGGAAATACTTTAACCGGAACCCATGGATCTTTAGCAAGATGATGAGAAGGTCCATGAGTTTGATTGTCAAGTCGGCTTGATCGCGAGAAAAGACAAAGCAGCCAATGTCGTTCACCTTGAAGTCATCGGATTTCATAGTAACCATGAACTTGTACAGTTGTTTCATGTAGTCACCATACATCATTGTCAAAAACTCTTCTTGGTCACTGCTGTTCATATTCACTTCTGTCAGTAGTCTGATCGAGTTAAAAATAGAATCTCGAAGCTCAAAGTCACTGTTGGCTCCTTCTATCAAAAAATCCATAAACGTCTTTCCGTTCTCTTGGTGGAATTGTTCGACAATCTGGGTACGGACAGTAGCAGGGTCGATTTGCACAAGGGTATCAAGCATGATGAGCGATTTACGCTTCATGTCCTCTGCTTCAGTAGCAAAGATGGAGCGAAAAATATCAATTAGGCCGTTATGGGCAAAGGCCTTGTAGAATTCTTGGCGATCGGTAATGTCGAGTGTTTTTCCCATGTCAAATAGGCCATAAATAAAACCAAAGCTTTCCTTCTTACGTGCGAGGTCACCGTCAGTGATGGCACGAACTACATCGTTCACAAGTGGTTCGTCATGTTGAACTAGCAACAAGATCCTTTTGTTTTTCCTCTTGATTAATTCTGTCACGCTTGTTATAAACTGTTCAACATCTGGACCTGATTCTTGGTTGGACAAGACTGTGATGAGGTACCTGAGACGGAAGACGTCATTGATTTCTTTTGTCAGCTGGCTGTTGGTTGATAGTTCCTGTAGGCGAGACTGAGCCGAGCCGGCATTTTGGACTGTCTCTCTATGTGTGTATCGACAGTTGGGATTTTTAGGGTAATATTCAAGTATGCCGAGGAGAGAAGGGAAGGTGAACTCTTGGATGATGTGTTCCAAAAGTGTATCTTCGTCCAAGAAGAGGATTTCGAGCATTAGGTAATATAATTGATGAAGGTCACTATGTGCTTCCAAATCTTCCAGGTTATTAAACGTTTCGGTGATTTGTTGAAAATAGTTGGATTGAAGGATCCATTTGGCATAAAATTCCTTTTCCATGGGGTTGGCGACTTGAAGAATGTCTGTGATATCTGCAATATGTTGAATGGTCAGATTAGGAAGTTTACAATAACTAGCCATATCAACAAGAGGAGAATCATTATGACTGAATTCGACATCATGATCATACTCTTCATCATCAGAGGTGTTATCTGACCCAGTGGCATGTTGTGATAATACGACAGGGCGATCAAAAACAATACCCTTCTTTATCAGCTTGTCCCTAAGAAACAAAGAAATGAGCCTTGTATGCACCATAAGCATACACATACATACCACACTTCTTGACATTTTGCAGGATCTTGAAAACTTATGGCCAGATCTTTTGCATCTTCAGTAAATAATATGAGTTTATCTATGAGATGTGTTAATCACCGCAAGGGGAAGAAGCCATAACTTGATTACTACCTTGTTGTCTTTGGTACATCTTTGATGGTTCAACATCAAAGCAATAAAGTTCGTCATTGTCATCTTTATCTGATACGATTCGAATCTGGTCGGAATTGTTGTTGTCGTCGTCAGTGCTGTCCTAGAAGAGATTTAAAAAATTTTAGTTTAAATGTTCAGAGAAAGAGAGCGCGCGTTGATCTTACTGTATAGTAACAGTGGCCAATACATAGATCAATCCAGTTTTGGTTTTCGTCTAGTTCATATAATTTCACAAGTTTAGATGTGGCTGTTTGTTGTGGAGGGGGCATATCTTTTTATTATTATTGTTGTTGATGAATAACAGGTAGTGGTAGTAGTAGTAGATTGGGTAAAATAATAAGAGAATAATATGATATCTGTAGTATTATTCATAATAGTTAGCTTCTTCTATTTTGATAAATATAAAAAAATACCTTTTTTTGGCCCTTGAAGTTTATAGAGTTTATTCTTAAACAAGAATAGAGCTTAAAAAGAGATTAAAGATAAAATACCCTTTTTTTTTCTTGAATCAAATAATTTAAACAAACGACAATTGTGACGCAGAAAAAAAAAAAACGAGCAATGTTTGTTTAAAAATGGAAAATGGGTACTCAAATTAATGCAGGTTTCTTTTTTTAAATGTGCATAACACAAACTGGGTTAGGGACAGAATTTGACTTATATCTAAAGAGGGCGATTATACATATACTTTATTAAAAGGCAATGAAACTTGTTTAGAATATTGCATATAGTTATCTTATCTGTATAAAATGGGATATAGTACAGTTTATGTCATACAAGGTTCAAAACCTCTTCTTTATTGTTAGTTATGATAACGCCTAGCTGCTCTACTCTTTATTTCCCACTCTTTTGTAGATCTATACACATTCAAAAGAGAATCCAGAGCGCAATTGAGTGAGCATAGGCTGTAACGAATGGGAGTCGTCGTTCCTATATCTGGAAGCACTGATATAATAGCAACCTGTATGATGGATTGTCTGTACCATTGCAGGCAGTAGTCGCATTGACGACAATCATCTACTGCCAAAGCCGGAATCGGAGGAAGAACCGCTTTAATGAATCTCTTAACGCGTGTGGGGTTATGATCCATTCTTCGTTCTTTACCAGCGTATTCACCATAGTCTTCATACTTGTCATCATAAAATCCTTTATCTGCAGTGTTTAGATAGGTACGCAAAGAAATTTCTCGTAGGGACGGGATGGATGTAAGCGCCAGACGAACGCGTTCCTCAACAGGAGGTTCATCTTCCGAGTTCACCGATTGTGTTGTGTCGCTTGGAATATTATATGTGTAGTTTCTCTGGGAGAACTTTTTGTCAGCACAGTAGGACATTTGACCATCACTAGATTTTTCAAAGAGAGCCTTGCGCAAGATACTTTTCACGTTTATGTCGTCAACATTTGGAGAGGCAGAGATAATATCAAATGCACCCTGCAAGGACATCGCTTGGACAGGCACAGAATTTCCATGCTTCTTTTCCTGTAGGTTACAGATGAGGCCAGTAACATATTGCAGTTTGATATTACCCGCCGTGTACAGTTCATCGAGTTCGCCCCCAAAGGGATGACAGTAGTCACATATACGGCTTCCGAATAGAGTGTCATAAAAGCTAGGTTTACGTATGTGACGATTGCATGTTGAGCGAAGATCAAAGGAGGAAAATGCTTTTTGCGGAACATAGAAATCACAATTTGTAAAGCGGTCGTGTGTCTTTACAGTTGAGAGCAGGGATGGAGGATAGTACATGAGCTTGTTCTTTCGAACATCAAGTTTCGCTAGCTTTTGCATGTGAATAAACAAGAGAGGAGGTAGCAATTCTATGTTGTTCTGTGCTATTCCAAGCTTCACAAGGTTTGTCAGTTTGGAGAGAGATTCAGGAATAGCAGCAAGACGGTTTCCATTGACATTAAGCCATTGTAGTTGTGTGAGCAAGCAGATTTCGTTGGGTATTGTCTTTAGCTGGTTCAGGGAAAGGTTTAATCTTCGCAATCGGTAGCATTTGGAAAGCCGAACAAATAGCCAGGAGGGACAGCAGGCGAGTTTACAGGAATGCAGGTCTAAGCTGACCAGACTTTCATAGCCTTCGGACATAAATGCAAATGGCAACATGGTCAGGGCATTTTCAGAGAGGTTGATGTGTGTTAGTGTGAGCGGAGGGTCATGGATTAAGCATGACGGTATTTTTGTCAGCTTGTTGGATCCTAATGAAAGGACTTCTAGCTTGTCTGGGAGCCTGTGATTCGAGAGAATGTTTTCAATTTTATTCTTATCAAGAAGCGCTATCTTCAGTAGTGATAAGGAGTAGACGGCATCGGGAAATTCTATACATTGTGTGTTAATAACAGTTATTATATAAAAAGATACACACGTACGAGTCAGCTTGTTGCTTGTGATATCCAGGCCTCTTAGCTGAGAGCATTTGACAATATCAGCAGGTAAATCTCTCAGTCGATTCTTTGAAAGATTTAACCACTGCAGATTAGGAAGTCTAGACATCATCCCGTCTGCAATGCGTCCTATTCTATTCTCGGCCAGCGACAAGGATGTCAAATTCGTTAGCAATATCAATTCAATCGGGAAGCTTGGAAAGCGGTTATCTCTCAAAGATAAATGAATGAGGTTTTTCTTGAGTTCGGCTAAAGCATCAATGTAGGGCTCGAGAGTGTCAAGATTGTTTTGTCGTAACATCAGTTCGATAAATTCATTCTTTTTAATGTTATCAGGATCGACTTCAATAAACAGGTTTTTTGGTAAGCTATAATATATTAGCCACTGTGTGGATACGCTTGACTGTAAAAGACTTACTTGGGAATATTGGATATTTCATAAGTGATAAGATATCCACGCGAGGAGAAAGGACTGACGTAGGTCTCCATTTTTTTTTTTTTTTTTCTTGAAAGTATATAAAATAATAATATGTTCTGCAGGAATTCTATTGTATTTATATGTATGTGTGAGTATTGTTTTTGATTCTGTGGTAAATGAAACAGCTAAAAGTCTAACAAGTCAAGTAAAACCACCTGAAAGAGTATAAAGGGTAGTAGTAATAATTCAGTGTGTCAACCCACGCAAGCTTGTTCGAAATAAGCCTATCTTAAAAAAGCCCTCTAGCAGCCATTAGTGACCAAACATGACGAGACAACCTAGGTAAAAAACAAGTGTGTGGTGGTTTGGTTGAAAACTGATCTACGTAGATATAGTCTTTATAATAAGCGTCCAATAAGGTGATATATTAAGAATAAAATTAAAACATATTAAACTTTTTAATGCATTGAAAATATCAATGATAGGAAATAAATATTTTTTGCTTATCATGTAGGAGATATAGTACTATCCAATGGAGAACAGCTTCTCAGTAAGTATTGTTTCATTAAAAAAGATATCTTTTGCTTGATAACGGGTTTATCTGTGATAGATGTATGTGTATCAGTTTTATCATATTCTGTCTTACTCGTGATAATGTTTTAATGCTTTTTTGCTTTTCACATTTTGCACCTGATGGTGGATCAAATGCTCTCTTTAATTCTTCTTCATCACCAGAATCTTTTTGCAATGCTTACATATAAAGAGGAAGGCTAATATATAGACCCTCCACTCTGTAAGTCAAACAACCATCCTTGGAACACAAATAAGATATGGACACTGGACTGTATCATTGTCCAATGAGATCATACAGAAATCAACCATTGGAAAATGTCGGTGTAACTATCTTCATCATAAATACCAGCCCTTCTCTCTCCCCACGTTTTGTGCTACCAGTCATTTCTTTCTCTTCTTTTATTTATTCCCCCCTTTTTAATGCAGGCATATAATGATAAACAGAGTAAGATCACGTTAAAGAAGAATCACATACAATAAATGCTTATATCCCTTTACAGACAATCCACTCTTTTCAGAGTTGGAACAGCAACGACTGCACATGTTTTTTGATGATGTCAACCAGGAACCTGTCTGTTGTAAGTAAACTAAAATAGATATATCCAGTAAGAAAACTAAACAAGATATGCTCTTCTTTAGCACAGACAAAAAACACATCAAAAACACATACCCCAGGAGGTATTCAGATAAATACACTCATTATTCCTGAACCCACAAAATCATCATCAAAAACTGCTGCAAGGAAGCATCCAAAAAGAATGCAACCTTATTCTCCGCCCCTGCTCTCTTCGTCATCATCAAGTACTTGTACCAACCAGAGTGATGACCGTTCAAAGCAAAGGAAAGCAAAGAGACCAACAAAGCAACCTCATGAGCTATTGACAGAAGAACAAAAGAGAGCTAATCATATTGCTTCAGAACAAAAGAGAAGAGCCAACATTCGTATCGGATTTGAACAATTAGTTGATATTGTGCCTACTTTAAGTGATGGACACAAAAGTGAAGCGATGATATTACAGAAATGTAAGTTTTTGTATTGAATTTAAATCTAATGAATAATATAACGTCCAAAAAAAAAAAAAGCTGTAGAATATTTGAGGCATCTAGTTGAAGTCAAGACAAATCTAAAGGAAACAGCTCGACAACTTCAATTGAAGCTAGGTGAAATGTAAGAAAAAGATTGACTACAATTTAACCTTATTAACCCTGATTGATGTCATAGACCAGACGACGATGTAACAAAAACATTTAAACTTGACTATTTTAGTAGCTAATGTTTTTTTATATTAGAGTTCAGAAGGAGAAATAGACTATTTTTAATGTAAAATGTTTATATACGATCGGAGAGGAACACTTTATAAAATGATATCTGTTTACACTATTTGTTTTGAATACTCAAATTCACCTTTTGTAAGGTTTCGCGAATGAAAGCAACGGGTTCATTCTGGATAGCGGTGTGAATATTTTCAACCAATTCCGTCTTCATGTCTCCTTCAACTATATTCTTTCTTAGTATCCTTGTTTCTTATAATGACTTATATTACTTACATGTGGTACATTCTGATAACTGCTCTAGTAGCTCTACACCAGCTGTACGAATAGCAGAATACTTTTTATCTTCCAAAGAATCAAAACATGCTTTTAAGACCTTTTGACGTATATGCGTATCTCTTAAGCTTGAATCTGTGCAATGTTTTACAAATGTCTTTAAACTCTGCAAGATAGATAATTGTACATTCCAAATGTTTCCACTCAGACAGCCTGTTAACATGTCGCATAGCGGAGCAGCTTCCTTTTCTTGTACAGCAAATGCCTTAGGTCGATACGCAGAGACAATGGATCGGAAAGCATTCGCCTTGATCATGAGAATGAGTGGTTTAGCATTATCACTGTCCTCATCTTCTACCGCCTCAGTTTCATCCATTTGACACAGCTCTGTCAGGAACTCGTTCACCATATCAAACATGCTGATGTGCTCACCAAATGTGTCCATGAACTTGGTTAAGGATACCAAGGCGTGTCGTTGGTATGTACGGTTTCTTCTTTTAGCTTCCCTTACAAAGATGATGGCAATTTCTGACAAGGGAGGGAAAGCATTTCCTGTGCACAAACCGTCTTTGATGGAGATACATAGTTGAGCAAAGGCATCCAACACATACTCTTTTCCTGCCCATGATCGTGTAGCCAAGGTTGATATCATGACTGGCAAAAGCTTCTCTGCGTAGGATCGAACATCACTTTCAGAAGTCTTGCACATATCAGCAATGGTAAGTGCTGCTGTTTGCTTGATCTTCCATGAGGATGAGGATAGCAATGGCTGAGTGAAATCAAGAATTTCATTAGCATAGAGCGAGACCATACTACGCGTACCAGACGTCAAGTTTTCCCATGCTGCTTTCCAAAGCTTATTAAAATCCTCTTCAGGATCATGCTCTCCAAAGAAAACGAGTGGAACAACATTAGAGGCAATCGAGTTGACACGATCAGTAGCAAAACGAGTCATTTCGACAACAGTTACAGCACTTCCTGCCTTTGCATCTTCATCTATATATATATTTATTTAATATATGTACTACCATATATGCTCATTCTTACCTTCATCTTCAATGTAAAGTTTCTTGAGATGCTTCACGATTGAAATCAATCGGTCATAAGTAGCAACTTGGCATACGTATCCAATTGCTGTTGCATAAGATTTACGAATCACAGGATTCTTTGAACGGATGGTGCCACTCAGTGCTTTAAGATACTGATCGGCGTAGGGTGTAAACGTTGTTCTGCGGTTCATTACGAGAGTCACGATGAAACGAGCACATCCAGCCTATAATATATATATATATATTGTAAGTTTTGAGGATATACAAAATATAAAAAAGATTACCTTGGTTGGTAAACCTGTGCCTTTTCTGACGATATGCAATATACGAGGAGTCAACTCCTCCATAACTTGTTCATCAATCTGATGTATACAATGTTCAATACCTTCCATCATTGGCGAGTTCTTTGCTCCACTTAATCGAGCATTATCAAGTTGTTCTTGAGAGATATTGTATTTTTCAACATGAAAGCTCAAATAGTTCATTGCTTGAGGTTCAAGCGCTATAAACAAAATGGTAAGAAAAAAGATGAATACCTAACGACTACACTTACAAGAGAGGGATTGAAGTAACGTGTCAATGATATCAGGAATGTACCTCTTCAAGAGCACTGCGCCTGTCTTACATACGCGGAGAACAGCATCCAAACTGAATTTTTGAATATCTTCTGCATCAGAGACAATACCTTTATGAAGCAAAAAGGGCATGACAATGCCCATGACTTTCTCACCATCCGACACAGCGACCGTTGTTGGATCACAGTAATGAACCGTCAGCTTGGTAAGTGTTTTACAAGTTTGTGTGGCCGCTTGACGCACTGAATCTTTAATATCGTCCAAAGCACGGAACGACATTTGCCACAGCTGCTCGAGGAATGGCTCAATCTGTCCTAGTTTACGTCCTTGAACAAGATCATTCAACGCGCTACATGATGCCTCACGCACTCTCCACTGATGGTTGCCCAAACCAGCCAAGAGGTCTTCCATAATTTGATTAAAGTAAGCATCGATTGTCTTTTGGTTATCCTTGACCACGGAGCGCCAGATAGACTTCATTGTCTGATTCACACGAGGGTTTGGATCAAATTGGTATCTGTACAGCTTTGGGATCAGTCGAGGAAGATAGGGTTCCATTTCCTTTTCGGCAAGGGCCATCAGGTTTTGAAAACCAAAGGCTGCACCCTTTCGAGAGGTCCACATGGCATTATGGTTGGCCAGATTCATAAATTTGTAAATAAGATCAGGTTGGTTCATTTCGGATGCAAGAGAGCATAGCTCCTTGTAAGTCGTGATTGAGTTTCCATCAGGTGTTTCTCCCAAAGCGCCTTCTTCAAACAGCACAGTATTGTCTGTGACGGATTGTGCCTGAATCCTTCGCCCTTCGGTAAACGCGCCGACAAGTGAGTAGAGCATGTCCTCCTTTAGTTTACTGTCACCGTATTCATAGACAAGACCAAGGCCCTTTGATGCACATTCCTGTGTGAATTCGTCTCGATCAGAGAGCAGACGGGAAAAGGAGGCATGGATAACTTGTAAGTTTGCTGTGACGAGGTTTTGATCTTTACCAAACTTTAAAATCGAGAGTAACCAGATACATGCCGCCTTTCTGTACCAAGATCTATCACTGGCTACATACGACCGAATGATCTTGTCTATTGTGTCCTGCAGATCATAGTCTAAAGGTTCAAAAGCGTCCAGGATAGGCATGTCGCTGACATCCTTGTATTTTTGCATCGCTTGTGATTTCCATCCAAAGGCAAGTATAGACAACGCCTCACCTGTCGCAAAGGCAATCTCTACCTGCTTAGAATCCGCCGTCGACAAGAGACAGTTTATGATTGAATCAACAACTGACGGATGTCCTTTCATCGGGACCGCCAAATGACCCAAAGCGAGCACAGATCGTTCCTGCACCTTTGCATCCTTGCTGGACTTGACTAAATGAATCAGTCTGTCAACTACGTCCTGGTTCAGTTTGAGAGTTCGGCCAATCTCTGTAAGCGCTTGACAGGCTGCATTTGCAAGCATTGAAAAAGTTGATCCAGGTGTGCCCTGAAGTAAGCTGGCAAGGCTTGTCACCGACTTTCGAACAAGATCGCTAGGAAGTTCTCGCCGACGATACTGACAGCGACCAATGGTGTACCCAATGGCAAGAACTGCACCGTGACGATGAGCGAGCGCTTGATCTTTTTGAGCCTCGTTCTCTACCAGACCGTATAGTTCATTCAAAATCGTTTCAATATCGGTGATAGAGGCATTGCTGACTATGATACCAAAGATATGAGACGTGAGCGCTCTGACCTCTAGCTTTTCTGATAGGCACAATGATTTGAAGAAGCCAAGGCGGTCATTGAACGCAGTCGATAGCGATGAAGGACCAAGAGAGATAATCTCGAGTAGACACTTGGCAGAGTTTGCCAGCAAAACAGGGTCTTTTAAAAAGGGGAAGTTGAGTATATGTTCATATACATTCCGTTATGTAATGCATACCTCTTAGATCAGGGCTGAGACCAGCTTGGATAAGCTCAAGCCAGTGTTCGATAGTTTGCCTTTCATTAGACCACATCTCGTTAATACTTGTCTTGAAGTTGTTCATCACCGTAGGATCTTCCGACATGCTATTATCCACCTTGTCAGATACATAGTTATCAATGACGATCGTTGTCGGATTAGATTCGAGCACACAAATCATGCGAATAAAACCGAGCATTTCAGAAAATACTTCTGTTGGATAGCCTCTGATAGTAGGCGACTTGGACATCAGTACATAGTCCTGGCTGGGCCTCTGAGCATAGACGTATTCTATCAGTTCTGAAAACTTGGGAAGTTCGGTTGGAGGCACGACATCGACTGACTCCGCAATGCCCGTGACCTTGCTTCGAACAAATGGCGTTAATCCTCTTGAACATTCCTCTTTTACTTCTAGTTTTGTCACTGAATTGGAGAATCCCAAAAGACAGATATATCGAGCAAATACAGAAGAAAATGGGTAGATGGCATTTGCATACTTTAAGGCCATATACCGAGAATATGCATTGTTCTATATCTCCTTTTTTAGTTGCTGTTACTTTTCATCTTTGTTTATTTGGTTTTTTTATACCTTTTGCACAGCTTCTAACAAGATGTTTTGTAAATCCTTGTAGATAGGCACTGTTTCGGAAATATCTACATAGATCTCAATCATAGAGGATAGTGCATCCTGCACATAGCTCCTAACGTTTCGTTCCTCTTGTTCTAATTTATTAAAGAATAATGATAGTATTTGGTTGTCGGATAAAGCAACTTGTGGGACTATTCACAATCATTAGAACACAAGATAACAATCTATATGCAACCTGCCTTTTTTTGCCACAAGACCACATGCCACATAGGCACTTCCTCTAATACTCTCGCCATCGTGACCCTTGAGTTCTTCATTTTGATTTATAAATTTTAGTAGACCAGATACGATGATAGGCGCAACCGGGCTCAGATTTGCTTCCGTGCTCTATATAAAGTTATGAGTTTCTCTTTTTTTTTTTTTTTTTTCAAAATAATTACTGACCACTCGAGCACACCATTGAAGAAATGAAAATGCAAATCTTTGAAGTTTGAGTGTAGTCGTTTCACCATAGATGCCATCAAAGACGACCTGTATCATGTGTGTGTTCATGTTGGCAGCCGCAACAGATTTTGTCAGATATTGAAGCACACGAATCTTGATGGGCGTCGATGCCTGCAGTCTCGGATCCTTCTCGTCCTTTGTGCCTAGATATAGCCTATAAAGCGTCTGAATCGTCTTTTTATCCTCATAATCTACGCTGCCTATCCATTTACGCATACCATCTTCACATGTAGAGGATACTTGTTGATTTGAATCACAGGCACCAGCAATCAACAATGGCAACCTCTCGCTGTCGGTGAAGATGGGCGTCAACACAAAATGGATGATCCCCAGTTTTGCATCCTTCAACTTGGTCATGGTCCATTCCACTTTACCCTTATTTGTCACATCCTCTATCGCCTGCTTACTTAATCCCGGTTGCTTCAGGTTTCCTTCCTGAAGATCTCTTGCCGTCAAGGGCTGATACAACATCACATCCAAAAAGAACCCTAAAATGACTGAAACATCACTTGTATTAAATTGAAACTGTTGTTCTCTCGCCATCGTTTGTTCCGCAGGATCCATATTCCATTTTCTAAGAATCTATAAAAAGAAAGTATTATTATCTGTCCCTTTTTCATTTTGTTGTTGTTGTATTTACAGGCAAGATAACATGAAGTAGCTGTATTCTTTGTTGAACTGGTCGTTGACTGATTCCTCGCAGTAACTCTGGTAATCGATTGACAATTTCCTCGGGACTTTGCCGACTAGCACTCATTTCCAGATAGATCAAGGTAAAGTTCTTGACAAATGTTGATACTTGGCTGTTTGTGAATTGTGCCAGAAGTGCATCAAACGGTAACTTGATGTTGTTATTCGTCTTTACTCTCTTGTTCACATGAGAAAGAATGGTCATGACTTTTTGTTTGACAGCTGCATCTGTGCTTGCTAATTTTAACAAGACAGGAGGAAGAAATAACTGAATATTCTTTTCGAGTTGTGCATCCGTTGTTGATAGTGCTAACTTTAGTTCGACGTTTTCTAAACACTACAGTTTAGTCTCTCTCTCTCCCTATTATCTTTTTTTGTTTTACCTAATAATTGTAACTCGTTGCTCATAATATATACATAAAAGAAATTCACAGATAAAAAATGCCCTCTTATTTATTTATAAATGTGTGTGTGAAAGGGGAGAGAGGGGGGACGCGTAAGCTCGAGCTTACGCGTTCTTTGCGTTACAAAAAAAAATCTATCAATCTATATGTTGTGTGTGTAATTATTATTGTGTGGGACTACTGGTAGCTGATGAACCTGCACCTGGTGTTTGGTTAAGGACTTCTTCTAAACTGACATGACGAGATAATTCATTATAGACCTATATAAACCATTAATTACTGCGCCTTCATTTACACTTTTCACTTTTACAGTTTCATCTACGGGTATAATCGACTTTCTTCGGAATTGTTGGAACTGTTGTTGTTGTTGTATATCAAATTGTTGCTAAGAGAAAGATGTTACCAAGTTACACACACACATGAGGATGCAAATCATTTTAGTTACCATATCAGGATGAAGTACATCATGATGCTCTTCATTGTTTTCTACATCAGCTATATCATCTGACATTGTCTCTTCTCCTTCTTCTTCTTCTATATCATCGTCATCGTCTTGTCTTGGCGGGAAAGAGTAATCATAGAACTCTTCTGCAACAGTTGTTTCACCAGACGTAATTGTCACAACACTCGTTCCTGATACTTTTCTTTGTAACGTCTTCCAATTTTCCTCTCTTTCCCTTTGTCGTTTTCTTTCCCTTTTATGTAAAGAATGTGAGATAAAGTATTTGCCTTTTTTTTTTTAACATACATTTGTCGCTGCTGTCTATATCGACTGACACATTCATCAAATAACTCAGGATTCATTTCCATACAAAGTTTCAATGCATTATAGACTAATCCCAATATTGTCCTATAGATAATGAGTATATCTGTATATAAAATCAATTCGATCTTACTTGTTCCAATGCGTCTTGGAAGTTCTATAGAGTGTTGGGAATATGATAGGCATGAGCGTGTTGACATTCTGTGCCATGAGATTGACAATATAATCGTTATTCCAAAAGTACAATGCCCTTTCGGCTACTTGAAAGTGCGTACTTGATACACACTGTCTTAACTTTACAAAGAGTGGCACCATGATCTTTTGAAACTCGCTACATTCTGTCACGTCAAGTATTTCTTCTAATTCATTCAAGAACATCACTTCTTTGGGACTATTGACCTTTGGCCAATAACGAAGTAAGCCTTGGATAACCTATAGAAACGATTAATACAATATCAAAACGGGCTTTATAATAACAAACCTCTGGGACCAAGGCCTGACTCTTTTCCAAAAACTGCACGACACAGTAAGCCAGCTGAGGATGATACAGTGCTAATGATTTGACCTTATGTAACGGGATCAAGACGCGACGTAAGAACTGTTTATGCTCTTCCTTCAACGGCAAGGCAAATCCGTTGATGATGCTTCCTAATATTTCCAAAAGTTCGGCTATACCATTATGTCGTTCTGTTTCATAGATAAATTGAAAAAAGATATTGTTGATCGATCGTCTGATGAACGCACGTAAGTTCAAGAATTTGCCATAGATGCGATGTAAGGTTGTCTTTAAAAAATCTCGTTCTCTTGGATCTTCTGTGTCAAATAGGTCAAGTAACTATAAAGGTGGATGAGCTCAAAAGTTGACGAATAGTTTAAAATACTTTACTTGAAGAATGAATTTGGAATCAATGTATCGTTTAGCAAAACTGATATTGAAGTCGGGTGATTCTAAACAACGAAGAAAGAATTCATAGACAATCTGTAAGTGTGGCCAGGCGAGTTCGAGCACAGGTTCGTCTTCTTCTGGATCATATGCGTCACCCGTCGGATTGACTTGGGGAGGAATAGTACGGAACAAGTTGACAACAAACTAGTAAAGTTAGTAATAATAATAATAAAAAAGAACATTTTAAATACCAATTTGATAATTTCTGGATAAACTGCTTCTGACGTGAGCACACCTCGATTCATGCTGACATATTCGAGTATTTCTTGTAAAGTATGACGCTTGATTTCCTTTTCTGCTAACTCTGCCCCAGGATCGCTAAAGTTGCAAATGACGGTGCATTGACGAATCTTTTGAATGAATAATTCATGTCTGAGATGAGGAGGTACTTCTATATATATGGCTTAATATATGGTGCCTCCAAAAAGTATTTTCATTATATACCATTAAAACTTGGTGTTCTCTCCAATGGAATCTTTTCTGTTGAATAAAATCGAGATGATTTTTGACGTCTGGTGGGTGTCTTGTTGACAGGAATACGATCTCTTGGGGCATTCTTTAGACGATTGATAGGACCAGTCTTGGGCATTTCAAGATTAGACTTGTGTGAGGGTGAACGAAGCTAGAGTAATATAAGGTATCATGTCTTTTATGTTATATATGTATTCTTACAACAGGTTCTTGCTGTTGTTGTTGTTGTTGTTGGTTGATTTGAATTGTCAAAGTGTTATTGTCACTATTACTTGTTTGATTAGGTAAGTTGTTGTTCTATGATAATGTTTAAATTCAATTGTTTTAATTTAATGAATGATATTTACTATTTCCATGTATTGATTATTGTTATTATTATAAGGAATAAAACAAAATAAAAGAAGAGAGGAAAATAGGTTAGAGAAGTGAATTTAGACTTTGCCAAACCAATCCAAATAAGGCGGCATCCGAATTAAGTTTTTATTCAGATGATGAAACGCTTTATGCATCTTTAGAATCAATAAATACTATTTGCTTGGTTTTTATTTTTATTCCCAAGGACAAACAAAATCATTATTATATTATATTATTCATGTTTAAAAAGGGTATAATAAATCAAAGGACTAAGGTCCTATTCTAGTATGATCTGTACTAGTCTCAGTCGATGCATTCTTTTGAGGTTCATACTTTTCAGTATGTGACATACTTGAATCAGAGGATTGTAAATCATCGTGTAGACTACTTTGCTGATTATTTAATATTTCTCTAGACAACGGTCTCTTCTTTGACATCGGCTGAGATGCAGATGGAACGCTTCCGAGGTCAATGTTGGCTGAAGAATTTGCCTGGCGCCAATGTCTTTGACGGATTTTACGAATAGCTTTTGTCACATCAGAATCATAGCCAACCAGACAAACAAAAAAAATATTAATGATTGGCCAGACGAGCATGATGGCCTCGTTACTGTTTTTCTGTTTAAAGGTGAGATGAAAATTAAAGATAAGCTGCATGAAAAAAAAAAAAAATTAAAAAAATTACCGTAATAATAAATATGGCCGAAAGAAGATTAACTATCGTCAAGGCTACAGTTCTGATGACGTTGTTATAAATAACCGATGTATAAAGTAAAATATTGATACGCATATCATCAAATGCTAATGATCGTATGTGCGATATGAGAATGACACTGATCATCACTGTTACATAGACATCTATCACTGTATCGTACAAAGTATAAACTGGGCCCCACTATATGTGAACGTTATGAGATGTTTTAAGTAAAAATGCACACAGTACATAATAATGTGTTACATATTGATTATCCGCATATAAGCATGATCCATCCGGGTTATTGCTGATCACAATTACACATGCATCCACAATACCTAGGACCACCCGGAGAACGGAGACAGTCCAATGAAAGATATAGGCTGTCCGTTTATACTGAAATGGTATGATTGCCTGTACTCTAGACACTAATACCGCATTTCCTGCTGCCATCGCTATATGATAAAAAAGATCTGCAGCCCTCCCTGTGCCATTACAGGTAGACCACTGACTTTTCCGTGGTGTGAGTAGTTCATGGGTCCAAACGCAACGGTTTTTTTATTGTTACCTCGCGTGAAATGATAGAAATAAGCATGATTTTAAGGCCATGGCTAAGCCCAAAATGAATTTACATGCTCTGATATGTGGTATCTTGTTTCGTTTAGGAGATAGGCATCGAAGTGCTAATTCTCCTGAAATAGCTACGGCCGCGCCTTGTAGAGCCATGGTTCCTATCACGATTGGACTGGACATAGGAAATAAAAAAAAAAAAAAAAAAAAAAAAAAAAATGAAAAAAAGAGCGAAAATTTTGTTTGACTCTTATTTTTTTGTCCTCTTTATCTCTCTTTTGTTGTCTCTCTCTTCTCAGGTTCCTTTTTTTTTTTTTGTTTATATATTGCACACTGCATGACTCGAACTAAAGACACTCTTCCTTTTTTTTTTATATCCAATAAACAGAGATTTATTCACTTTTTGCCCGTTTTTAAAAGATCTAAAAAGCTTGATTTTGACATAGTTGCAACTATATAAAAAAAAGTTTAAAAAAAAAAATTGGACGCATAAATATGATCTATTACCATCTTTAGCCTTTTCCACTGCTGAAAGTGTCTTACTCTTATTGGTTACACTCTGCACTGCCACCTCAGTCACTTTTTGCTGTGTACGAATAGCATTAAATAGCTTCACGACACCTCTTGTCGCTACCTTTCGAAGCCTTTTCTCATATTCAAATGATGTATAGTCGGGTATAACGCGTCCCTTTTCTTTAGCCGCTTTCTTTTGTACCGAGAGAATCTTTTGTGCTTTATAGTCTAATTTTTCATCTTCAATCTTTCGTTCTACTCCTTTTGATCTTGCAAGAATAGGTTGCTATGTTACATATTAGCTTTATGCGTTGCCATTTATCTTTTTATTACTTTTTTATCGGCTCCTGTTAGTGAACTGGCCAATATCTTGGTCATCGCATCCGAAAAGGCCTCTGCACTGTATTTTTTGGTCTTTTTTGAGGCTGTGCAAGTTTTGATTAGACCATGCGTGCATATGTGCATATAATTATACCCTTCTTCAATTCGGCTTCATCAAATTCGTCTTCTTCTTCTTCTTCTTCTTCATCACTTGAATCTTCAATGTCTGCTTCATCCATCTCAAGATCTTCTTCGTCAGATGATCCTGTCTCACTTGCTGTATCCATTTCTTCTTCTTCTTCTGACTCACTGTCAACTACTCTTTCTTCTTCTTTCTCTTGTTCAACTATGCTTTCTTCTTTCTTTTGCTTCTTGTTGGCCATGATTATATAAAAAGAAAAAAAAGAATCAAAATCAAGAGAGAGTGAGAGAGATCAGGGACTGAGCTGAGGCTTATAAGAAATCAAGTCACTTTGCATGAATTTTATTGACGACTCAGTTCTCACACTATTCACAAATTATTCGCATACTGATAATAAAAAATGATAATTGCAACTAGGAAATGAATCAGGTCTAATAAAAGCTATTATTTTTAATTTTGATGTCTATTATCACTAGTGTCCCTAGAAACCTCCAACACGTCGATCATAGCTATTTTTTGTTTGTCTCTCTTGTTCATTGATTTATTTGTTTTGCTGGAGAAAGAGACAAAAATGCTTTCCACAAGTGATCGGCTCCTCAGACAGTCTCGCATCAACCGAAGTAATCTAAGCCAAGTTTCATTTTTTTTCGTTTCCTAATGGTTTCTTGGCATATCTAATAACTTTGTTGCCATCATTTTTTAAAGAATTTATATAGGATTGGTAGCTATTCCGATACATAGCAATGTTTTTGGCAGTATATGAATCTTCAGACTCACCTCTGACTCAAAAAAAGATGTACAGTGCTTCCAGTAAGTAATGTCACAGCCAATCAAAATCAATACCATATTTCTGACATTGATTTTGTTTAAACATGATATTTTATTGATGGTCCAAATGAGCGCAAAAATAAAATAATATAATAAACGTCCACCCGGACCCGTTCAATCCGTTTGGAAGTGAATGGTAGCGAAAAAACCCCTTATGGGTACAAGGGTAAAAAATGTAAACGGAAATTAAAGAGTAGGGTTATCGATGAAAGGTTAAATGAATTGATTGAGCCATACAAGAAGCTTTTGACCGTGGGGGT